CAGAAACTTGAATGACGCATCGCCGGCAGAGCCGCGCGATTCGTTAGTTAGCAGCAACCATCAAATAAACTATGACTGCTTTAATTAGCCATTCGCAGCTTCATTGTGTAAATGATTATATTGTCTTATACAGAGACATACATGGCTTAATCCTTGAGGCAGGATCAACCAGGTTTCAACCTCAGACGCGCTGGGCTCAACTTTGAGGCCGCACGCGCTGGTGGACATCACCACAACAATTCAAGAAGCTGATCAATCTGCAAACAGCAACCCCGTAGCAAAGATGTTCTCTCCTGCCGCAGCATATATATATATACATATATATAGTTATATGCATATGATACATATATATGTATATATCATGTGTATATATATATAGTATCTATATATATATAGTTGCATCTGAAAATTGCCGCAGGGGAGGGAGGCATTGACACTCCCTGTTTACTTATGACAAAGATCATGGTTTTCAAAGAAAGGCATCAAATGATTTGTTCCATAAAACATGTTGTGTTTGTCATGAATCTTTGTTGGTTATCTGCGCTCACAACCTCGGAGTTTGTCATGGAGTCATGACGTGCATTCATTTGACATCTGCTCTGTCAAGCACCCGTGTGCCATCAGCTACAACGCGTGCAACCAAGCAAAAATGAGGCTCTGGTGCTCATTTCCGAGAACACAGAACCTCGCTGTGATCCCAAGGCCCATCAATTGCAGCGCCTCGCAGTCACATGTGCTATTTTGGCAGGGACACCTGCAGGTCGTAGCACCTGAGAGCTTGGAACGTCTGTCAGGCGCTAGGAAAAATTTAGCATCTGGAGCAAGAAACCAAAATGGACACAACCCGCATCTTCACAAGCTACAGGTTTCTGAATGGCACCAGGGCGCACAGGCATCGATAGACTTTTGGCAGATTAGAGCAAAATGGCACCCCTAGCAGCCCCATCCGCGCAAAGTCCTTGCACCGCTCTGCGAGAAGGAAAACTGACCAGGTTTGGGAGCAAACACAGCACATGCATGTCATACACAACCTGGCAGGAGGACAGCGCTTGGACGTCAGGCCTGGCAGTGAAGCTGGTGACTGAGCAGGTTCAACTGGGAAGTTTCAGCCTAGGGCCTAGTGGACGGCTTCAAATGGAACATTAAAATCATGAAATGATGACTCAAATCCGTAAGAATCTGGCCCAGATATGCCCAGCCACTCTTTCAGTTTTGTCGCCGCATCAGGATCATCACCACCTGAGAGACAGCGACTGTACAAATCGACTTGAAGACAATGACACCCCGGGCTGACACCCTCAAACCATGTTCTGCTTTACCAACGCAAACCAAATCGGATTAGTTGTTCCCAACTCCCGACTCAAATAGCTTCTCTGGGGCTTGGGCAGTCATGAGAAACCTGAAAGCATGTGGCTGTGTGTGGCGGATGATCTTTGTGCGAAGGAAGAATCGTTCCGCGACCAAAGCAGCTTGTTCAAACACACCCACGTTCTGTTGAGGTCCAAACCTGTGACACATCTGGTGGCATGCCAACTGGATTCCCCTGACATCAAGCCACTCATCATAGGGTTTTGGCGTAGCTGCTTGGTCCGGCCTCAAAAACGTAGACCTTCCGAAGACCTCCAAAGGCTGCAATGTTAGTTTTTGAAATGTTGGTCTCTTTTTGGTGAATATTTTGCTCTTTTTGCTTTTGCAGCAGAGTGTGGTCTACTGGTGCCTCTGAGGAGGGTGCAGTCTTTCAGTGGTGGCAAGGGGTCCCGCTACCCTAAACTGGCTTGGCTTTACTTCGGCTGTGGTTTAGTTGTTTTGTTTTGCTTTGGTTGACTTGGCTTGGCTTGAGAAAGCTGGAGGGGCTTGAGGGGAAGGCACAGCGCCTCCCCCAAGAGCAAACTAAGTGCCAAGCCACCAAACAGCTACCAAATTCCAACAAACAAGGGTATCAAAACCTAGCCGTCAAAATCCAACGAAATCCATGAGAACCAAAAGCAAGCCAACACAAACCAACCCAACCCGGAGCCCACCGTCAGCAAGTGCAAAATCACCAAAAGACTACCAAAAGCCAACAGAACAAGGTGTCAAAACCAAACCATCACAATCCAATGAAATCCACGAGAACCATCAAAAAACATACCAACCCCCCAACCAAACACGAGCCAAAAGCCACAAAAGCCACCAAGGGCCAAAAGCCGCAGAAGCCACAGCAGTCAAAAGCCACAGAAACCACCAAAAGCCCAAGGCCACTGAAACGCTGCAGAGCCAGGTGCAGCGAGGCGACACAAACCGCAGAAGGAAACGGATGGACTCGCCAGGCTGTGAAAACAACAAACGTTGCTTTTTCGATGTGCCCACAAAGTGCTTTAGGGAGAGTGGCTCCAGGATTAGGGAGACCAGGGGACCAAGGAAACACAGGACCAAGGGACCAGAGGACCAGAGGACCAGAGGACCGAGGAGCCAAAGGACCAAGAAACCAAGCGACCAGAGAGAGCCAAAAGCCAAGAAGCCACAAAGTCAAAACCAACAAGCCGAAAGCCAAGAAAGCCAGAAGCCACAGAAGCAACAGGTAGAACAAGAGATGTTCCAAAAAGGAAAGATAATTCCACATAAAATGCCCTCTTTCCAAGAATGGAAAGGGCTTCAAGGAAGTCTCACTCGTACCAAACTTTCATACCTTTCATGACCAGAACCTATGAAAACACCAAGGTCGAGGACTGTCAGTGGGCTGGGCCAATTGCTCGATGTCTCTGCCAGGACTTCAGGTACCTCCTCAAAGGCCTCGAGGACAGGAGCCCCAGCAAATCAAAGAAGCTCTTCATACCCTCAATGCAAATTCGGCACAAATGCTTTCTGAGGCAAGCTCTGTTTGCAATGCAGAAATCAATTCGGGCTTGGTGTTAGTACTGCCTTTGAACCTTGCAGCACACACTGGAGCCAACTGCCAAGAAAAGCAGGTTCGGTTGGGGGCATAGATTTTGAGGTACTTGGCCTGTGCGTGATTGGTCGTGGGACTCAGGACTGGACGAGCCATAGAGTGACTGATATCGGATCGTGTAAGTAACCTGGCTGACGTTGTAAGAACCTCAGAACCCGGTCAGGACTTTACGCATTGTTTCAAGGACCTGTCCCAAGTACCATGTTCTATGCGCTAGACCCTCAGTAATCCAGGGGCATGCTGTGGACGATAGCTGCCTGGTGTATGACCAGCATCTCAGCTACGAGTGAAATATAAGTTCGTGGCTGATCAGCGCAACCAAAACAAACTGAGTGAATCAGAAGCCAATGTTTGTCAGCTTCGCAATCCGAGCAGGCTCCTGGGTTGTTCCATGGTCTCTTCAAAGGATTCCTCCTCGTGCAGCTCCTCCTGCCTGCCAAGACTCCTTTGATGTTGTAAATGTGGGAAAATCCAAGCAAGGGTTACGGCAAACGATGTTGCGTTTAGATCGTTCAAACAGCTCGACCTGCCTTTCTTGCTGCACAACCTCCTGCAATGTGCGCATTGCAAGAGCACTTGCACTCTACAGAGCTGTTCCTGTCCTCGACACGCCGAGCACCCGAGCTGGCAGAAGCCTTGTCAGTCAATTAGTCATTTGCGGCACTTATAGCACTGGAACTTGCACGAACAACATCAGGATTAATCAGTTCGAATCATGCTTCTCTCTGCAAACGATTCTACTCCAGAAAAATGGAAGATCTAGGGCTTGAGCCGGACAATTCCCAGGCTCTCCGCACAACGCGCTCAGGTTCAAGGGTGCCTTCATCAATATCATCAATATCCTCTTCCAGCTGCCACATTTGACTTAGTGCCCAACCCAACAGGTTGCAGGTCGCCAGTCATGCATACACCTGCAAACGCAAGCGGATGTTGTCTCTCTTCAGACAAGAAGTGAATTCTGATCCTAAATTAAATGCAGAGGTACACTTTGCAACCTATTGAGACCCTCATATACATCAACTTGGGAAACTGCAACTGTGCGAAGGCAAAAGCACTCCTAAGGCTCCTGGCACACTACCGCCAGCAAACACTCGGTCTTGCGCAAAACGCAGGCCCGCATCATCACCTCATTGATTTCTCCGAAGAAACAGGTTGCGAAACTGCTGTTCTTGTCTCGCTGGATGGACAAAGTGGAGAAAGACTGCAATACCTTCGTCCATAACCCGTCTCAAAAGCGTGGAACGACGTGGCAGCAAAGTCGGCAAGGCCCTTGCCAGTGGGCAAGCCATTGCTCGACACCTGGTTGCTGAACCGTTGATTCATCGATTCATTCCAGCAACTTTCTGAGGCAGCAACAAACATGTAGGGATCCAGTCGAGTTTGACAACTCCTGTAGGGATCCAGTCGTTCAGAAAGGATACACTGGAGACGAACAAACGCTGCGCTCAATGCGAGGGTAGCAATTAATCTATCACACTCGAGTGAGCCCAAAACTTTGAAAACTGCAAAGCATCGAATTTTTTCCAAAGACAGCACGAGGTTGTTCTAAAAATCTGAGCAATTCTTGGATGACCTAGTAACTCGGGAATTAAAGAAGTCCATTCTCTCTGAGACCCTCTGGGATACCCGGCGAATCCGAGAAAAGCTCCAATTCACAGACACGCCAACAGACCTCAGCGGATTGAACAAGGTGACTTGAAAAGACGAAACACACTTGAAGTTGCGGAAAGTGCCCTCTGTAATCAGCATCAAAATTTAAGTCTACAAAAACAGCTCTTGTGGTCAAGAAACAGCTTCCAAAAGGCTCACTCAACTTCCAACAGTCTTGTCTGCAAGCTGAGAGCATGGCCTCACCGTTTGATGCATTGACATTCACCACAATATCCGTCATGTTTGTGATGACCCATACAGTGGCCTGCCAAATGTGTTGGAGTTTGGGAGAACCCGGCATTGTGGCACAAGCTGCTCATGGCCTCCATAGGGAGTAGGATAGGATAATAGACATGGGTGGTGCCCGTGAAGCATGCAACCTTGAGCAAGTTGTCGGTGAAATGGCTTGTCACTCTGACATTCACGGAACGAAGCTCACGGGGCCCCAGCCAAGAAGACGACGGTGAACACCACAAGGCGGCACTCGGTTGTTACAATGCACATTGTTGCGAACTGCAACAAAAAAAGAAGAAAACAAAAACATCGATGGTCTTTCCCATGCCCATTGACACTGCACACACGGCTCAAAGCTAAGTGCTTCGGCCAAGCCCATGATACAACTCCTCACCGTGCGGACTACAGGCTTCACATCCATGTTTTGCCATAGCTGCAGCGATGGATCCTGCAAACAAATCAAGATGGACTGTGGAAAAATGCACGTCAGGAATACTTGAGGCACCTTGCCTGGGTAGGTTCTACAATCAAAGGAAAGGCCTTGGAGTCGAGCGGGGCAAAATGGTTCAACCAACCACCAACATTAAAACCACGACCCCTCAAAATGATCCATAATGCCAGCAAAGAGTCTCTGCTAAGAGTCCCGCAATCTCCTCTTCATCTGGAGGTCCTTCTGAATTGTCACTGCTTTCCTGCAAATCGGCATGCTTCAAAAATGCTCAAAAATGACCGCACGGAAGGCTTCAAAAGCACCACCTCGAAGGGCAGCTTCAAGCCTCGAGTCTATACAGTCGGGCATGACACGCAGGTAATTAAGACATCCCAAAAAAGATTGTGAAAAACAAGAGACCCAAACAGTTTTCTCTGTCTTACAGTCTTAAGAGTCTTAACTCTTGTAAAGAGAAAAACAATCTAATCTGGGCTCTCTGAATTCTCTCCCTCCCCCTCACCTAGTTTCAATATCAATAACGCTGCACTTGTCCAATCCACCTGAGGTCACTGCGCAAGCGCCTAGGTTGACAGCAGGCACGGCACCACCATGAGCCTGGAGTGGCGCGGCAGTGTGGGAGCTGTGCGATGTGACATGTCAAAGTACTACAACTGAGAGGGCCGGTGAGGAGCAAAGGGCAAAGGGCATCGCTACTAGGGGCTCCTGGCATTACTACTAGGAACAAAAAAGCTATTAGGAGCAAAGGGCATCGCTACTAGTTAAGTGTCCCTAAAAATCTAGGAACAAAAACAGTAGTGCGAGCGCTTCTTCAAGGAAGCGTGAGTCCATACTAGTAGCTACTTAAGCTACTAGCTACCTCTTCTACTAGCTAACTCTAGCTACTACCTCTACTACCGGCCTACCCCTTTACAAAAAGGATAGATGAGGGACAGGTTCTATGTCATGGGCCTTTGGGATGTCCAGACATCAAAAACTCAAAATACATGAGGAGCGGCCATTCCGTGCTCTGACTTTAAGCGCCATGCGAGACCAGCCATATTGACCCATCACTGCATCGCGGGTTCTCTCACACCAGAATACCACGAAAGCACCCATGACCTCCAGTTTGGGCTTGTGTGTGCACTTGGAGCATTGTAGCCTCTGCTTATCTCTGCTCTTGGTCTTGTGAAGGGCTAACAGCAGCAACAGTCTACACAGGACACAAAATTCCTGCCTCCCGCTCTTGGGGCTTCAGATCCTCAATGAGGTACAGTAGGTGCATGTCAAACCAGGAGCAAAAAAGGATTCAAGCATTCTCCGACTGAATGTCAGCAAGTGAGCAAGCGCTTGAAAAAATATGCAAAAAGTTGTTCGATCGAACTACAGTATCTGGTAACTATCTTGTCCATTGATCTTGATTGAAGAGTCGAGGATTGTTTGGGACCCCGGCTGCATGCAAGGCGCGATCGGTTTCTATTTGAAGGATTTGCTCTTCAATCAAGTCATTCCTGCCGCACAAGCACGACAGGAGCGTGGAGGCTTGCTTAAATTCGACAAGAGCACTCAAGACTCAAGAAAACGCTACAAATGGGGTTTGCGCTGAGGTTTCTGCATCGAATGGATTACAAATACTCATTGCCCCAGGCAAAAAAATGGCTCAGTAGCTCGAGGTACAGCTCAAGATGCAAGACTTGAGTTGCTGACTGGGCAAGAAGGTGGTTTTGCCGCTTGGCTAGCCGTTTTCCACCCTTCGCAGCAAAAAGAACATGACCAATCGCTGTCAAGGGCACAGCAATACAACCGAATAGGCCCTGGCATCAGCGCGGTTGCAAATCCGGTCGTACATCTTTTCGGCCATGGCAGTGACAGCCTCAGAAAACAGTTGAAGGCACGTTGAACATAATAAGTTCAAGACAAAACGAAACCATGATAGTGATAGAACAGGCGTCAAGAACTCCATATCAAAGTACCGTGCCGTGGAGAAGTCCGCACCCTCTTCATGAACTTAGTCGGGATCAACAAGCAATTGCACACAAGCCTTCTCTGATCAGCAACTTCCCGAACCTCCTCATAGCCTCACTCATCTGCCAACTATGTTTAATTTTGCTTTCCTGAAAACTCTGTTCCATCCTCTTGCTAGCTCCACTCTATTCACAGCTGCCCCTCGGTTTCCTGCCACTGGAAGTTCCTGTGACTGCAGCGCCTCAGAGCAAATGAAAAGCAGAAAGTTGCTCCCCAAAACCATACAAGAAGCAAATTAGTTGTTTGGAATCAACCTGTGATCTTGCACTGCAACCGCCCTATCGCCACTGATGCTAAGCCCGCAGCTCTGCCTGGCACGCCAACTGCTGATTCAATCAGTCTGCAATCTACCAGAATCTATTTGTATATATGCTACTAGGAGCCAGTACGCTACTACTAGTAGCAAGAAGCTACTAGGAACAAGTGCATCGCTACTAGGAGCAAGGACGCTACTAGGGAGATATATACATATACCATGGATGAAGAAAAAGGGACTGCGGCATTGAGAGGGGTCTTCTCGCAAAACGAATCCCAGCAAGACATATCGCCTCTCTTTCATCAGGTTCATGGTCTGTCTTCCCTTGGTGGACTGTCGCCGACCTGGAGACAAGAATCTGGAAACACAATAGTTCAACAGTTCAAGTATGAAGGAAAGTACTCTCTACTGTCTCGTGTCTTCACTTAGGTTCAATCACAGCCAATCTTACACTTCATGGAGTGAGAAAGTTGACCAATCTCTTGTTGCTAGTGAAATGCAACGCATAAAAACCGACATGGAACCAAGAAGGCGACCAGACGTTGGCGCCAGCCTACAGGCAACCACGAGGATTGAGCCCCCAACTGAATTGCATGAATCTGAATAAACACAGCAGTTGTCTTGTGGGGCCAAAACAATTGAATAGTAAATTAAACAGTTAAAACAATCCATGTGAAGCAAAGTGAAGCAATGTCTTGAGCCACCAACGATCCGCCAGCTGTGTAGCCAACGTCATGCTCCAGCTCGTCAGAGAGCCGGTACTGAAAACAAGGTCAACTCACATGGCAAAGGTCGCCCAAGGTCACCGAAGACCTTTCGAAGTGGACATTTGTACAGACTTCTTTCGGTGTCCAACACTTGTCTTGGAACATCTTTGAACCCTGATTCTTATTTGTTCTGGATCAGTTTTGCACTTCATCCGCATTGCTTTCGCTCCGCAACACAGCGTGATATATCAGGTTCGTTGGCAATCTGACTCTCCTCGCTAGCTTTCTGCTCCAAGAACTTCAGCTCTGTGTTGATTGAATGTTGCTTCGCTTGTAGCTCCACCTCCACAACGAGCTTATAAACAAACCTGTGTTCAATAGAAACCAAGCAAGGAAATCTGCCTGGTTCATCACCCCATACACTGCACCTTCATAATTCCGCCACATCACAACCTGTGGCCACCAAGGTTTGTATTGAAACAAGATCAGTCAAATAATTGACACATTTATTTGCTGGAGACAGTCTAACCCGCAAGCGGAAATGGAACCTACCATGGCAAAGACTACAAAGCGAGCCCCAACCTCACGCACAGGCTGATCATCCAGCTCTTCTGCAGTGCCCATCTGGCAGGCAAGGCCAGGCTGTAGCTGCACATAACAAATAGATACAAATAGTATATAAATAGATCGCATCAAACCCTCCCTGAAGCAAGCAAACGGTGTTCACACCCTTGAAGCAAATTTTTGGAAAACTCTTCGTCTGTGCCAAAAGGATGGAAAATGATGCCGCGCCCTGACGGCTCGCTCATAGGCGACTGTTTGGAAGTGTTCCTTAGATGTGAACCCGACGTTTCCTAATTTTTACCGCCGTGGGCCGTGAGGAGAGCTTGAGCAAGTAGCAGACTACTAGTTGCCAGGACGCAGGTTAGAGCTCTGGCTCCTTCAAGGAAGCTCCCCAAAGCGAGCTTCCTTGAAGAAGCCGTACCGAGAAGTGTCAATCCAGTTCAATCTGGGAGGTCTGAGGACCGTGCACGTATCAGCTCTTCATAGCCCGAATGATGGTAACCCAGATCTTTGGGAAGTGCTCGCACCTGGCCAGCCATTTTACACAACTTCTTAGACGTATATACAAACAACTTCAACAGAACTAGCTAGACTAGATGGTTGCAGCTTTAGAGTGTTGTCTCGATGCGGCAATGCAACGCACCCGCCTGAACTGCTAGGTTGGAGATGTTCTGCGGATTTGTCTGCCATGTTGAAGACACAAGCTCACTCACCCAAACTATGGATCAAAGCTCAAGCATCATATCTTGAAGGCTCTGTGCAGCTGCCTTCAGTAGCAGACCTCTATTTTAATGTCGAGTCTCAACACGACTTTGGTTGCTCTGGTTTCATCTCGACAACCCTGCGTCAATTGATGCATCTCAGCTATCCCGTTTCAAAAACAATTCCGGGCTCCAGTGATCACCTCTCAGCTTACTTTCACCACAGCAAACAATTGACAAATGTGGTTGATCAGGTGACTTTGCAAAACGATCCGTCTCATGCCCACAAATATCAGAATTCCAAGAGGCTTTGTAGGTGGCTCGCTTGACAATGACCTCACCGCAATGGTCTGGTGGCATTTGTCGTTTGCCTCTGCTGTTAGCTGCAAACCTCGATTGACCTCATGACACTTACGGATATATTGGGGTGAGGTACTCTGTGGCGGAGTGAGGGAGATCCCCAGTGTACTCATAAGACGTGGAGATTACACTAAGGCACCCAAAACATAATGCTGTCCAAAACATGTCTAATTGTTCACGACTTATCCAGAGAAAACTAAGCAGGCAGCACGATGCAAACCATTTCTATGCGCAAAGGAACGCGTGTGACACGGCATCAAAATTGTGGTGTAACAAACAAGCAGCACGAATCGACGATGGTCACAAAATCAATGCAGTAAAATCAAAGACATTCCTCAAACCTTAACCCAAAAATGTGTCATACTGGCCAAGAACTACCAAAAATGGTATCTTCCTGGGCAAGGGGTTCGTATGCATTGGGAAGCATCAACTTGGGCCCCGTGCAAAGCGAAAAAGAAGCAGTGCGCAAAGCAGCCTTGAGAATTGGTTCCCGCAGACTAACATGCAAAAAACCATATGCAGCAGGCTGTTTCCAAGTGAACCGCAGGCGGGATGACACTTCTTGAAAAACACAGGCTGACACTTCGATCTAGGACGCTGTGGATCCCAAACGCCATGGAGCCAATGAACTCGTTCATGATGTGAACCGTGGCCTCGGGTAAGAGGGCTCGAATGCACAGGGCCTTAGCAGCTAGGCCCTAGCCCAGCTGTAGCTCCCTGCATGTTCCCAAGATTCTGTCCTTCCTTGAAGGTTGCAACGTGACTGCTGACAGGCTGAGATCGGAAAAAAACAAAAACAAAAACTGTACTCATATGAGAACCCCCCCTTTTGTCTTTTAGCCATGGGGGTGAAAACAGAATGGCTCTGTGCAAACAAATGTGACGAAGGCACATCCGCTGCTGGAGACCTGCACAAGTCCCATCTCGCTTGCAAATGAGAGGCACGAATCAGCATTCTTAGACTCCTGTGCTTCATCTCTTACCCCCCAGTTGTACTCCAGTGGACAAACATGCAATTATCCAATCTTTCCATCCTTCCCCGGCCCAATGTATATAAGGGAAAAGAAAAGTATGTACAGCATCTCAACATCTCGTTTAAAGCTGCAAAAAAAACCGACCTGTTCAGGTTCCCCACAGAAAATCTCGCCAAAGTGCTGATGACTTCATCCGTCCTGCAGCCACCCACCGCACATCTAAACCCCAGCCAATCACTTTGTGTTTCCAATCGTGATTGAGGATCCAGCTGCTGCAGCACAGGTCCACCTCCCGAGCTGGAGCCACATATCCTCGGTTGAAAAGAGGCTTAAAGCATGAGACAAATCATCTTGGCCTGCAAAAGGAACCCACATATTCAAGCCTGCCGCGTTGACTTGGCCAAGGCTCAGCAAAAGAGGAAGTGTCATGAAGGTGAGTACCTGAAGAAGGTCTAAGGTTGATGGATCTCCCAGCATGGAATTGAATGTGTTCTGAATTACACGCTTCTGCATAAAAGAACTTTGAAGATTCTCCCACTCTGCAAAGAAACATATGTTTGTCTTCTGTCATGGGCTCACCCCGAACGCGATGACAAGCAGCAGCACAAGATCGAAGTAAAGCCTCTGAAGTTCATCGTTTCGTGACTCTTCTTGAACAGACTAGACCACTACAGTAAACTTTCAGGCTTGCTGGTCACAAGCCCGCCCAATCGAGCTATCAACAAAGGTTCACAACTTGCTTTAGGGCATGCCGGGCAAGTCCCATCTCTTTGTATCAGTTACAGTGACAACGCTTTTCGACAGCTGGATAGGCCTGATAGCTACGGAGTACTCTCCAACCTCGGGCTACAATGGGTTTCAGAATGACTGATCAAGATTCAGAAGGAGTCCCAACCACATGCACCTAATAGCAATGGCCTCCCAACCAAATAGCGATGGCCTCTACCTAGTTGGCCTCCAACCTGAGCTTCAGAATGACTCCCCAGATCAAAAGTAGGGTGCTGTGCCAAAGCTCGATCAAAGCAGCTCTCCCCCCGTGCAATGCTCGAAACTTTGGAACCAAGTGGCCGTAGCGTGTGATGTGCAAAGTAGACTTCTCCATTGAAATACTTTATCCTTATGAAAGAGCTGCAAACACAGCTTATCATAAAGCATCTGCAAAGCATACGAGGCACAGTGGGACTGGTGCGTCGCAAGTTCAGCTCAGCCTGCCATTCAAAGTCACAACAGTCACAACAGTCATAATCAGGGACTACTAAAGCTAGCACCAGCAAAGGCCTTCGCCAGCTCCTTCTTCCACTTCTGCGCTAAGGTACTGAAGGCACAGGCTGCGTTCACTCTTGTCAGAAGCAGGTCCGAAGAATTGACAACGAAACAGTTTGAAGAGAAGGTGTCCTGGGTTCATGGTCATCCTCCTCCAGGTCTGCACCAAAATCCACCGCTGAAGCATCCCAAAGCCCAAGCTCCTGGAAGCTTCATGATGCTTGTGAGGCTTAAAAATATCAAGACTAAAACAAACCAAAAAATACAAAAACGGTTAGACCACTATCATTTCATGTAATTTCTACTCGCCTGATCGCGCTGTTTGATTTGAACTGACCTGCCATGCCAACTCTGGCTCCATGACAGAACAACAGGAATGCGTTTGACCATCGATTTGTTTTTTGTAAAGCCCGTTCTTACTTAAGTAAGTAGGCGCCTACTTAGTGTAACTAAGTGAGGGATAATTTCGCTACTAGTTACTTCAGTTTCTAGGTAGGACAGAGTATAGTTCACGCTTCTTCAAGGAAGCAGCGTTCGCACTAGTCATTTGGTTCCCAAAGTGACTGTGAATGTGACTGTGCCCCTGACATCACACGCACAAAGTTCTCTTGGTCAATCCCTCCACCATGCTTTCCACAGACCTTGCTTTGCCAGAAAATGCCAAGATTGGCAGATATGAAACACGTTGCAACAAAATCTACTCAAAAAAACACCCCTGACAAACCAAGCTTCAATTTAAAAAACAAGATGGAGCCCACGAACCCGAATGCAAACACGATCGAAAAGCTACATATGTCCAAATGACACTCTTGTTGGACACTCTTGTGGGACACTCTTGTAGGACACTCTTGTGGGTCTCTCTTACGGGGCGCTCTTGTAGGACACTCTTGTGGGACACTCTTATAGGACACTCTTGTG